TAGCTTCTTTGCCTGCGCCCACACTGGTAAACCCAGGAGTCCTATCTGTGCGGCTGGGAGATGAGCACTGCGGGTTGCACTGCAGCACGCACCTGCTTTGCAGGATTGAAACCTCCTTCATCACCTCACACAGGCCTCTCCGAAGTAGTTCACGGCCTTTGAAGCTACCATCCTCTGCCTTCACATAGGTGTTGACTTACTATGTGACCTGTTCAGCAGTAGCATGGGAACTCTTTTCTCTCCTCCTCTTTCCACAAAAGTGTGACCTATTCATGTAAATCACTACAGAAATGCCAGCTATGATCCAAAGATTACAGGCCAGATCAGTAACGAACTTGAACTGAATTTAGATACCTGAGTCCCAAACTGTTCCTGTCCCTGATGGTGCCCAAACCTCATCGTTTCTTTATTTTCAAGTGCCCCAGAGCCAGAGTGAAGTGTGACTGAGTAAGCCCAGAGCTAGACAGGACAAGGCCAAGAAACCCAGCAGCTACAGATCTAGGTCCCACCGGAGAGTCAGGTGTCTCCTGAAAACACCTGACCTGGCCAGCACATCAGGGCTGCCAAACACCTGCAAACAGCCTCCCGATGCTGCTACAGTCCTCTCCTTCCCATTTCCGCAGCAGAGAGGGATGTAGAAACCCCCTTTTCACAGCGGCCGGCTGGCAGAGCCCTCCTCCAGCTTTTGCCATGCCAGATTCAGGTCTCAAGGCCACGTCACTGTTTATCAGCACCAGTTAATTCGTGACGCAAAAAGGGACACGGATAACCAGAGAGACGCTAGCACCACCGAGTCTCTCCTTCCACCTCGTCGGCAGCGGGATCGGGCTCCTGCGCTCACCCCCTCCGCCTCACTTCACATTAGGACAAAACCGACTTTTCCTTCCACTGAAGCTTCTCAAAAGGCAAATAAATATTTATCACCTGGCACTCAAGGGACTCAGGCCAACCTTTAAAAATTCAGTCACTAGAGGGCACCCCGACTGCAAGATGCCGGCTGAGCCCTTCGGGCACTGCGCCCGGCATCAGTTGCTAAACTAGCCTCAGGCACAAGATTTCTTAACAATTGATACAATATTTGAAAGGTTTCCAGCGACAAATCATTCAGTCCTTGGCCAACTACCTTCCTAAGGTTTTAGGCTTGGAGGAAAAAAAAAGGGGAGGTCTGAAAAAAATGGCATGCATCCTCCCTGGGCGCCACCTGAAGGCTAGCCACTGCGTAAGAGGGATCTTACCTTTCTGTGTTGGCTGAAACACATAAACATGCTAATTATATTATAAATAAAAGCTTCATTAAAAAATGGTGAAGTTAGATTTGTAGTGAGGATTACATTAAGTGAAATGAGCTTCCTTTCAATGAAGTTAGATTTTCGGCTATTACCCAAAATTTTATCTACCCAGCTATTACCCAAAGCAATGATTTTTAAACAAAAATTATAAAAGTCCTGCATGACAGCTGATTCAAAATGAAGAGTTATTAAGGGTCTGTGACTAGGATCCAGCCACCAACAGCAATTGCCTCATCTTCCAGGACTGCTAACAACTCTGTTGTTCAAAAATGCTAAACCTCCTCACTGAGTCTCAGGCCAGATTGCCTCCCCTTTCCATGCTCACATTACTTACATACATCTTATTGCATCTCTGAATTTCTGGCAGTTTGTCTTTCAGTATGCTGGTAATCTGAGACTAGCTTTTAGTTCAGTGTGGTCACCAAATATTCCTCAATAAAGCAGAACTCTATCAAACTCTCTTTGAAATCTATAGGTATTTAGAGTCACTGTTCATGCTCATTAGCTGCTTCATTAAGACCTTCAGAGAACCGGTTAGGGATCTGAGTTTCTTTGCTTTCTTGCTTCATATTACATGGAAAGAAAGTTACTCGGCCTGTCAGTGATGACTACTTGAAAATTAATATGAGTAGCGATTTTGGTAAAATATTTTACTGAAATGGAGTTCGTAGGCTTCTGCTGCTGTGCTGGAGTGAGGCTATAATATGTCTTACTTGCTAAGTGTGTATATAAATACATAGATGTCACAAAGTAGTAAAGATAATATTCCCTGAAATTAGTCACCCGCTCTTAAATATGGATGCACATATTTAACAACATTTATCAACTGGAGACTGCTAAATATCCTTTTAATTAACAAGCAAATGAAAATATGGTATAGTAAGACTTAAAAACTACCACCACACACAACACTACCAGTTAACAGAAAACACGAATGGAAGTTAGAAGTGACAGTAGGTGACACGAAACACATACAGATACAGAGGACTTGTCCATGGCCTAGACAATAGTGCTCAATACCTATTGGTCTTCAAGCTAGCAGCTTCCTGATGGCCCAGTCCCTTCCTCTGGGAAGAGCTCCCTCCCTCCCCTGTGGCAGACCCCAGCACCGAAGTGGAGCCGTGCACCGCAGGTCGCCTCTGGTCCCTGCACTTTGCCTCACCGGTGGCTGGAAATTACCCCTCTCAGGAAGGAGCAGGGGCGGCAGCACTCCGAAATGTTGTGATAAAAAGAGACAACCAGTGCCTTCCTCAGGGTTTTGTTTTGATGCTCTTCAGCTCTCCGTTACACCAGATAATGAGAGGCTGAATACCCTGGATAATGACAAACTAAGATCGTTTTTCTTCTTCTGCCCACTCAGTGTTTGTGCACCGCGCTTCCCAGCATGCTGGTTTCCAGCATGACGCATGAGCTCACAGCCAGTGATGCAGAAAAGCGCCGGCCCCGCAGGCGCTGTTCCCCGCACCCCGGCCCCGAGAGGCCAGGTCCAAGCTGGCTCTTTGCCCTTTGTACAGTTAACCCACAAATTAGATAATCCGGCCATGGAAAATGAGACATGGAGCTGTCAGCGGTTCCTCTTGCAAAACTGCCACGCAGCGGTGGGGACGAAGCGTGGTGGCCTCAGTGAAGGCACAGTAGCTGTTGCTTTGACATCTTGCCAGCCGTGTTGGGTATGTGTACGTCGACAGCTCCGAATGAGCCGACTCAGGTACCAGGAGCAGCACTGCTACATCAGCAGGACATTTTGCCTGTGCTGTGCTGGTTGTCCTGATGATCTGTCGCGTGGGAGGCCTCAGCTCCACCAGTCAGCGCCGGGACGCGGCTGCTCTGCGCAGGGCTGCTCTGCGCGCTGCAGGCACTGCCAGGGCGCTTGCCGCCTGGCAACGTCTCACTTTGCGGGAGGCTCGCTCTTCGGCACTCCCGTCATAGCATTTCTCCTCTTCTCCTTCCCCGACACACAGTTTTTTATAATATCATTTCAGGATTTAATTGGTTTGGGCTCCAGAGACCCAAAACAGATAAGCTATTGACCCTAGACTTTTAAAGCTATATAGGCATCTAATACATAGATGCCTATAGATGCTTACAGATTTCGGAAAATAAGCTACCTGAGTGGCAAATAAGTCCCTAAATACCAGTGAAGATCTGGGCCCAAAAACTTCAGAGTATTTCTATCGACATCCATAGGTAAGGGATTATTGTGAGACCTTCAGCTTTCCACTAGCACTGGCAAATGTCACATCGCCACTTAGCTGCAAAACCCCAATATTTAGATCAGGATTGTGTCTGGCACCCAGCACCTGTGTGCCTTTAAATTTCTAGCCCTAAGGTTTCATTGCTCTTGGTCCCAGTTATCAGAATAAAGGAACCTAACAAAGCATTATGAAAATGATGATGATATTCTAAAAGTATTTATTTCAATTAGCTAGTCTTTTTTTTTTTAGACAGATTTACTATCTAGACAGGCTTTCTGCCGGTCCACCCAAGAGATCTTATTCTGCCTCACAAGGGACTATAATGGCAAGCCTGAACTTCTACACTAAGAGAGTCCCCCAAATAAATTGTGGATCGTTATTCAGTAGTAACACAGCTAGAGTTTCTTGCTTGAACCTTTCCTGTTGTACTGTCTGTTGATATGCTGAGCTGTCGTACAGTTTCAGCAAGTACTGGAGTAGAGGTTCACAAATGAAAGGCAATTACTGTCATTTAGACAAAATATACTTATAGGACTGTTAGATCACAAGTAGCCAGGAACTGCATGTGCTTTCACTGTGTCTTTTGAAGTCCCTCTCCTGCACTTATTTTAGATTTTTATATGTAAACCTTAGCCAACAATAAACTTAGATAAAACAGTGTCTGTTCAATCATATAAGCTATCTGGACATTTCAGAAGGCTTAGGGGGAACTGCAGGTTATTGTCCACATTCCAGTATATATAATCTGTTCTGTGATAATCCTGCAAATGCTGCATTCTTGATTATCTCAGTGCAATGTTATTCTTCAGGCTACCAAGAGTTTTTTAGGGTGGCAATCCATATACAGATACTTGATCAGACCAGTCATTCTGTCTATCTCGTTGGGCTAGGCCACACTGAGTGAATGCTGGTTCAAAGGGGTTTGAAAGCCTTTTTATTAAATTTCCACACCCTCATACGAAAGAAAGGCATGCTAGTGCTCATTTCATACTTTTCCTTCTTTGTGGTTAGACCCAACTACCCTTTACTCATAAAGACCCTGCTCTGCCACTAATCCTCTGACTCCAGCGTTAACTGTTTAGGGAATGAGATGCTATTCATGTGAGTAAAGGCATCGCAGTCTGCTTCTTCAAAAGTTAATCTTATTCTTTAAAACTGACTCACACCTGACTAATCTGGTGTTTGCAATCTTTAGAGCTACTTAGTTTAGTCCAGGCTACTAGTTGCAGTCCTTGTACTGCGACGCTGAACTGCGGCAGGGAACTGAAAAAACTGAGCCAGAACATCAGGCAAGGGAAGCTTCACTTTCCAAAAGAGAAAAACCTGACAAATCTGACAGGCTGGTGCAAAAGGAGCATAGAAATCCCTACCAAAAAAATATGTGGGAGGGAACGTATATTTAAAATAGGACCGCCTAATTCAGCTGCTAAATGGATGTAAGGAGCTCTGTATGTCTGTGTGTGAGGGAGGGAGGGAGAGAGAGAGAGAGAGAGACAGAGGGAGAGAGAGACAGCAAGAGAGAGAGGGAGAGAGAGGGAGTAACGTGCCTTGCAGGGAGCTGGGAGCTTGATGGGAATGTTTGATTAGCTCCTCTCGGAAAGGGAGAAGGTGTCCAGGCCTCCCCTTCGCTGCCTGCCTCTGATTCTCTAGAATAATGTTGACTGGAGTTTGTGGCACAGAAAAACTTGGAAAAATTAGCACTTTGATACTGGGTGGAGACGAGGAATAAAAAGTTACACACCTCAAGCAAGGTAATTCTGATGTCGTTTCTCTATTATATTTATTCCTCGGGGAGAGGGGGGAGTTGCTTTTCGGTACGTTGATAGTAGTTAAATGTTTTCCCTGCTAAGAGACTGTAGAGACTTACTTTTTTGCCTAACAGTCAGCTGTATGCATGGGATCAAAGACCTGAGAAGATGAAGACATCGATGCAGAATGAAACTACTTTAAGTTATACGGATTTTCTAAATTATTTATAAAAGCATTAAACCCCCTACTGTTAAAGTGGACACACACACTCACTGTCTGCACAGCAAGGGCTTAACTGTTTCATAAATAATGATGACTATTATTCACAGATCAGTAGACATATATAGGCTAACGGTTCAAGTAAAATGTGTAATAGGTAGTGTGACTTGTTCCCTAGAATTAAAATGCTGTTACTTCCATGACTTTTTCTTCGCCTCTTTGATCGATAAGTATGTATGAGTTGTAACATTAGTGACACTGGGGAACACTGTTCTCTGAGATACAGAATGGAAAACAGTTACTATTCCAGTTCTTTACGTATAAACTTATATATATGTATATACAGTGTGAACTTTCCTGCTGGATGGATAGATACGCATGTATAAACAGTAGAGCAGCCTAGCATCTGTATATCCTTTTGTGTTGAGTGCTTGTTTTGCTGATGAGGCTCCAAAAATGAATAGCATTGTCGAGCCTGCCACAGCCATTCAGGTCTCTGCAGAGATTGGATTCTTGATAAGGCTCTCTAAAATGCAATTTATGTTAGACTAGTACAAACATGAACCAAATGCCCCAAGCAAACTTTTCACAGAGAGACTTCTGAAGACGCTGGCTGATATTTTGCTCCTACAGTTTGTGGGAACTACGCCTCACCCGGAGCAAAAAAGGAATTACAGATTATAGAAGCAGATCTTCTTCCTTAGAGCACACTTCTTTTCTTCTAACTCCTCCAAAATTTAAATAAATCACCAAAAATAAGCAAACACACGTACAGAAAAAGCAACTTTAGATGTCTTTTAAAATACATTTGACTGAGAACAGCAATAGTCATAGGTGGTTATAGCTTGAATTTTACCATATTTAAAAACACCTTGCATGTGACTGTGTTCAAAGAGCATGGACCTTTATCTTCTTCTATATCTACAGCACCACATTTAGACTTTATTCAGTTCATCACTTGAATTAAAGTGTAAGACTGTAAGACTGATCTCTTTAAGTCATTCAAACAGAGCTCAGACAAAACTAACTGCATGACACATGCACATTACTTTCTTTATATTAAATTAGTATCTCATTTTAAACAAACTTATTTTACTTGCATTTTTTAATCTAATGCTTCAAGCTGCTGAAGTTGTTCTCACTGAGGTGACAGGAAACACGTTCTGTCTTTCTGTTATTCCAGGCATAAGCAATATTTTAAAAAGCAAACCCTTAGTGTCCTGCCAATATAGTATTGCTTTGTGGTTTTACCCGTAATAGGAATTTTATGCTCTTAGCTTGCTAAGATTGCTTTATATGAGATGCTTCTTTCATGGTCAGTGGCAGTATTCTTACACAAAACCTGACGCTGCCATTTGAGCTGGCTTCTCTGAGTGATACCATGAAGGAAACCAGGTTTTCTCATTCTTGGGATGCAAGAAGAAGACCCCATATGGATTCTCTGGTGTCTAATAATGAATGAATTCCTACTGAAGTCTTTCCTTTAGTGTGGACATTAACAAGGTGTTCCCCCTTCACCCAGCTGCTTGCTTTCACTGAAGTAGCGGGAGATTAATTTTAACATTCTCTTCTGTAAAATTTGATTGAATTTGAATATTTCTAAAGGGGATCTCCCACAGATACAGTGCAAATACAGAAGCTTGGGGGAAAAGGCTAATTAATTTACATGATAGAATATAATTATTTATTACTTCTGCCCGTTGCTTTTTGGAAAACCTCATTGCTAAAAATAAACGTGAAGTTTGTATAGCAGTGACGTTAAGGACTAGATTGTAGCTGGTCTTCCTGCAGAATTTTTATTTTTTTTCCTTTTCACCCCGGGGCCACAAATACAGCTCCAGAAAGAAAAGATGGCCCAATAGCTTAACGTCCTAACTCAAGGATATTCACATTCAAGTTTCTGCTCTACCAAAAGCCTCCTAAATGATAGGCAAGTCACTTAGGGCACCCAGCTGAACTGAGCAACAAAATTGATAGCTCAGTTTGCTGCCGGCAAAATTGAGACTGCATTCCACCTCTGATGTCTCGAGGCTAAACGTGTAGGAAAAAATGTTGAGGCACTCATAGTCGTGAATTCCCCAAGCACATTGACTGGAACGGGTAAGTGCTGGATCAATGAGGCACTGGTTGGCCTATGGTGATCATTGGTGGGGAGGTATTATATTTTCTGGTCAAATGGCGCAAAGTAATAGTGCTGGGCTTCCTGAGTGCCCTGGGAAATGTTTTGGCCTCCTAAAGCTCCGAGCCCACCATAACTCCTCAGGCATGCTGCAGTGCCAGCTGAGGTTTAAAACCCACATTCAGAGCTTAAAAACTAAAATTCTGCATTAGTAGGTAGGAACAGGTGGTACCTCATACATACCTTTCCTTCTGAAATCCCATCTCTGTGGCATCTGCCAGTAATACAGGTCTCATTGATCTATGGTGGAAAACAGAAACTATGAAGCAAATTGTACACTTTAAAGTTATGATGTAAAAGGAAATGCAAAACTAAAGGTCTTTTAGAAGAGAAAAAAAGAATACTGATAGTACGTATTGTGCATAAAGCCGCAGAATATGCAGCTAAAGTAATGACAATTCCACCCTCCTCACCCTCCTTCCTCCTTTCACGCATGTTGGGTAGCTATAATAAGGCCAGATTCATGGAGACCGGCAGGTGCTTAAGACCTCCTTAAGCAGTTAAATACTTTTTTGAACTTGTCTGTGGCACAAGGAGTCCTATTGTTCATAAGCGCTCCTCCTCGCCTTGGGTAAATGTGATAGAATTCAGCTAGCGTTAGGGACAATGTATTCACTGTTCTGGTCCCAATTGTTACAAAGAGACTATAATTATCACTCTTCTAATGACCAACCAAGCAAGATAACAACAGTTTTTCTCCTGTGTTTAGAAAACAATGTCTTGCTACAAATTTATGGTTCATTCGCCTGTAAAAGAGCCTCTCCAGCAGTCTTGGAGCAGATGCCATTCTCTTGCATCCCGATTCCTTTGCTTATTGCGCATTTCACACTTGGAAAACTTGAGTGAATGCTGCCCAGGCAGCGCAGCCTCCCAGTGTCACGGAAGAGGGTCAGAGCGGTGCAGAAGTTCCCAGAAAATCTGTAGCCATTTAGGTTGTCTCTACGTTAGCGAATTAAACGTGCCTGGGAGCATTCCCAGGCACTCTGGCTCACAGCAGCCTGCATCATGCTTTAAACTCTCTCAGCCTCACACTAAAGTGCACATAAACCGTGGCAGATAAAGGGAACCCCTGGAATTTTCTAAGCCCTCACCCTTCCTGGGGAGCTGACAGGAAAAGTCCTAGATTAGCCAGAAATGTTCCTCGTCTAACAGTGTCGATGACCCCAGTCCTGTGCCTGCAAACACTCCTGGCCACTGTTTAATTTATTAGCGCAGCCTGAGCCCTGGACTCCAACACAAACGATTCACCCTCTACAGGTTCCCGTCTCCTCTCCCTCCCTTTCATCACCCTGCAGCGGCTGTGGAAGGGAGCAGTAAAACCACCTCTTACAGGCTCCTTACAAAACCCTGTAGAAAGGAAACTGCGGCCGTGAAGGGACATGCTGCAGCGAAGACAAGAGCATTTATTACTGATGGGATTTTCTCCAGTGCTGTGGCCCACAGGATGAGTGGGGGAGACTATTGAACCTAGGTAGGCTCTTAGGGAGTCTATGGGGGCAGCTATACTCACCAGTTGACTGCAGTGTGCATGGACGTCGCCAGACTAGCTTCGCCCTTGCTAAGGCTAGGACGTGTCAGGAGTGGGCAGGCACGCCAGCATGGCGATCGTGGGTCAGCTACCCGCATTCAGAAGGGTAGTTATAACCTCCTCTGCTGTATTCAAATCATCAAGGTTTAAGCAGTTCTTAGTCTGGCAAGTCTTACTGTCATGCCTGAACCAGCTTTTTAGCATCCATTAAGTCCATTCCAATTTTCGCTTTGTCTTCAGAGCTTATGAAGAGTTCAATGGCCCATTAAGAGCGCTACTGATGTCAGTTGTCCTTGATGTATCTCATTCCACAGGACATCTCACAGATACAAATACAAAAAATATTTTTGAGATTAACTGCATCTGCAGTCTGTTTTTCTGCCTGTCACCTTATTAAATAGCTTTGTAAATGTAACACAGCAGTCAACAGTCTCTCAGCAAGCAGCTGTTTTCATATGAAAAAAATGCATAATTGCCAAATGACAGTTTTATATGAGCCAAAATTTCTGGAAAAATTCTGAACGACTTTGTGTATCTTCTTGCAATTCTTTAATGTTCCCTCTAGGATGTATTGGGGATTTCCGGTACCTCCAGGCTTGTACATAAAACTGTGGAAATTTTTACCCTCTCCAAAACTGCTTGTTTACAGGAAAATGTGAATGCAACCACCTCTGTCTGTACCTCTCAGTCTCTCTGCCAGGTTCTTTTAAGGATTCAGAAGGCTTCATTCTTTGTATTTTCGCCAAATACGTAGTTTACCCTTGAGTCCATAGAACAAGAGTGAGGCATACAGGAATACTGGCAATGGCAGTGTGTATCCTGGCCCTGGTCACCTCCAGTGAGTCAGAGTTACGAAAGGGTAATGGATCCATGACTCCTGGGGCTATTTTCATACCTACCAGCCAGCTGAGGATGATGGGAGCCCATCTGTCTCACTTTGGTGGGAGCCCCTCTTTTTCACTTTTCTCATAATGAATCTGCAGGACTCCAGCATTTTGTTCTCCTGGGCTTGGTGGAAGAAGTGTCTGGGTATGAAGGGTGTGAAGAAGGAGAGGTTGTTTGGATATTAGGGAAAT